GCAACCTCTTGAATATTCTATTTAATAAACCCGCTAGGTGGTGCACAACGAACCGTTTGAAACCAGTCCAGGGTTCGGACCAGTCAAGGGTTCGGACCAGTCAAGGGTTCGGACCGTCAAGGGTTCGGACCAAATCTATCTGATTTGATCAGTGGGTCACTTATTTAAACCATACTGGTCGGTGATTTGAGCTAACACATGAAGGATCTACTGGAAATTATTTTACCCGAGTAATATGTGATTTGATTGATACAAAAGTATAACTTGGGGTGTTTTAAGAGCCCGGGGACTGCTGGCACTCCTACAATGACGAACGGTCGGCCTCCCCCTTTGTTTATCAATCGCTGTATCTAGCTTCTCTATTTTTTTTTTCCGTCTCCACCACATTTAAATGCTATATTATCACTATAGTTGACTGGTGCAAATTTTGGAGGAAGGGCGCTTTTTCTGTAGTAATAATTGCTTCTCGTTGTGTATATTGCGACCGCTGGTAACTACAGGTTATATGAAATTCACAGTAACGTCTGGTATTTCAAGAAAAAGAAACTAATGAAAGTCACTCCACTTCACTAAGTACCATTATAATACTGGTTAGTTGCTACTACAACACTGTATTCTGCTATTCACTGGTATCACTAGATTATATGCGAGTACACTAGCAGGCCAGGAAGATTATTAAAAACAGCTGACAGAACAAGCGACCTGAAGAGTGTCATCATGGGCTTGGCATCCCTAGTTTTGAAGGTTCTCATTATCCATCCTGTCATTTTTCTAGCAGATGCGATTGATACAATGTTATGGTCCTTGAAGGTGAGATCCTCCGACATGATCACTCCCAGGTCTTTGACGTTGGCTTTTCGCTCTATTTTGTGGCCGGAATTTGTTTTGTACTCTGATGACGTTTTAATTTCCACATGTTTACCATATCGGAGTAATTGAAATTTCTCATCGTTAAACTTCATATTGTTTTCTGCAGCCCACTGAAAGATTTGGCTGATGTCCACCTGGAACCTTGCAGTGTCTGCAATGGAAGACACTGTCATGCAGGTTCAGGTGTCATCTGCAAAGGAAGACACGGTGTTGTGGCTGACATCCTTGTCTATGTCAGATATGAGGATGAGAAACAAGATAGGAGCGAGTACCGTGCCTTGTGGAACAGAGCTTTTCACCGTAGCCGCCTCAGACTTTACTCTGTTGACTACTACTCTTTGTGTTCTGTTGGTGAGGAAATTATAGATCCATCTACCAACTTTTCCTGTTATTCCTTTAGCACGCATTTTGTGCGCTATTATGCCATGTTCACACTTGTCGAAGTCTTTTGCAAAGTCTGTGTATATTATATCTGCATTCTTTTTGTCTTCTAGTGCATCTAGGACCTTGTCGTAGTGGTCCAGTAGTTGGGACAGACAGGAGCGACCTGCTCTAAACCCATGTTGCCCTGGGTTGTGTAATTGATGGGTATCTAGATGGGTGGCGATCTTGCTTTTTAGGACCCTTTCAAAGATTTTTATGATATGGGATGTTAGTGCTATCGGTCTGTAGTTCTTTGCTATTGCTTTACTGCCCCCTTTGTGGAGTGGGGCTATGTCTGTTGTTTTTAGTAACTGTGGGATGACCCCGTGTCCATGCTCCCTCTCCATAGGATGGTAAAAGCTCGTGATGCAGTTCTTGATGAACACGGAGTGATAAGATTGTGAATAAATAAACAAATCTTGATGAACAGTGTAACAACGAGTGTTGCAATCCAACAGAGTGTAGTGCGACATTCTTCAAAGAACACTATTCTTCAGTCAAGACAACGATACCCGGGAGTAACTGTCCGATACACAAACCCAGGTAAGTCTGTTTAGTGTGTGATGATTATTGACTGCACAGTTAAGTATTCTGTTCACTTAACAGATTACCGTATACCCCGGTGAGTTGCAGGCCATTGAGCCTGCAACAGTAAGTGTTGTCAACAATCAGTTTTTGAGATATGCTGACATAACACTCCCTAGGGGTAATTTATACCCATAACAATTTTTTTATTCCAGCCTGTTGAGAGATGGATACAACAGCTTCTCAAGACATTGCCTGCAGGGACGGCTGTGTAGGCAAAAGCTGTCTATCAAGCTAAGTTCCCCTTAGAGTCCACTATTTAATCTTTGACTTAACTTGTAACACATTTCTCAACAGGGCGTCTACACTGCAAACTGAATTGTTTGCAATCCTAATGGCGTTAAAGCTAACCTATGACATTGAGCTTGACTCTATCATCATTACTGATTCTATGTGAAGGCTCTTGACTCATATAATGACTCCAACAACATACTCATTGGAGAAGCCAGGAATTAATGTTCAATTGCTATGGATCCCATCACACACTGGATTACTCCTTCATGATAAAGTTGATATGTTAGCCAAGAAGAGTAGCCAGAAGGAGAATGTAGAATATAACTTTGGTATATCTGTGTCTAGCATTAGGAATAATATTAGGAGAGAAGTAAATAATGAAAATGATTGTTATAGGAATGCAGTTAGAAGCCTGAGTAGATCTATAACCCACTATGATAACATGAACGTAGATAAGTATGTTTATGAAGCAATGTGCAATGTGAACAGACTGACTGATGTTGTAGTGGCCAGGCTTAGGCTTGGTTACAAGTACTTCTGGCAGTTTGGGAGACACACAGATGATGATCAAACTAAATGTAAATTATGTGATCAGGCATATGGTCACTGTCTTGAACACTATGTGCTTAATTGTCCACTTATTGAGGAATACAGAGACAGACAGTATAATAACCTATGTGACATGTCAAGATATCTTATTAATGAAAATAAGATACCAGATATACTAAGCAAATTTCCTATATTTGCATGTAACAGATAAGTGAACTGTAGATATGTAGATAAATAAAAAACCCATATGTACACCTGTTAACCCTTTTGGGGCCTAGTTCCTAGGCCTTTTGTGTATCTATATGCTCTTGTGCTACCGTCCACAGGATGAATATGGGGGTGCACAATAAACTAGCCACTTCGGTGGCAAAATCTAAATCTAAATCTAAATCTGATTTCTGTTTGCCTTGGTTTTTCGTGACTGCATTCCCTACTGGTGTGTTTTTCTGTCTCTTTGCTATCTTCAGTACTTGTACTCACAATGGTGCCTTCACCAGTTTTTTCTGGTATTTTATCTTCACTATTCCTTGGGGCATCCCCTTGTTTATTGTCTCTAGTGGTATGCTAGTTTGTAACTTTGGATTTTGCATGTCTTTGTCTACACCTGTTTCCCCACTAGAGCTCCTGTCTCCCTCCGGGCCACCAACTTTCATTTCTGTATTCTTACGATTACTGCCTACCAGGAGAGCATCTGCTCCAGGGGCGATAGCACCATCTGGCCCAGACTTTTATTTTCCCATCTGTTATAGAATGCTGTCAGGTTTTCTATGAAGGCCGTTTTGATGTTTCTGTCTTTTAATACCAATGTGATTTTTTTCCACAGCTGGTTCTCATATGGGCATTCCTTGGTTTAATATCTCTTGTAGATGATCCCTGAATATCTGCACAAGATGTGTGGGGCCCATTTCCCACAGAGGTTACACGTAATCCATGCGGAAGCCCGTTTGTTGCTCTTGGTTTTCTGTATATTTTGAATTAAAAATCATGGTTTCCCTTAATTAAAAAGGCAATGAGTTATTTTGCTCAAACTCAACAGTAAAATATATGGAATGAGCTAGATTATTTAATTGCACAAGGAAATGGTTTATATCATATTCTTAGGCATTAGGCATAAAACATCAACATAATCTGTACCACTTAGCTGAGTTGGGAACGATTTTGTTAAGCAGTCGTGTTTCAAAATATTCAATGTACAAATTGCTAAGGACAGGTGGACAGGTGAGAGAGGATTTCCCATTGCCATACCAAACTTCTGAGTGTAAAACTCGTCATTAAACACAAACTTTGCATCAACAATACAAAGTTTAATAAGCTCAATTATTGTAGGTATTGGCAAAGATGAATCGTAAGTACCGAGTTCTTCAGATAGGAAACTTAATATATCATCAACTGGAACTTTTGTAAACAAAGAAGTGACAGTAAAACTAACAATGTGTAATTATTTAAATCAGTCATGGTGCTTAATTTATCAACTAAATCAGTATTATTTTTTAATGTTAGAGTTAGAAATTTTGCCGACAATTGGGCTCAACATATCTACTAACCATTTCGATAATTTATAGGAAACTGAACATATGGAGCTAATTATGGGTCTGGCTGGATTACCTGCTTGGTATGTTTTTATTAATCCATACATACATGGTAAAGATGGATTGGTGGTCATGCATTTTTTAATTAGTTTATATTTGCCTATCAGCAGTCGTTTTATTGTTTCATTAAAGTTACTGTTAACTGAATTTAAGGGATTCTTTCTAAGTTTGTAATAAGTATTTGTATCATCTGGGATATTATTCAGTTTACCTTGGTAATCAGTTTCTGTTAAAATTACTACAGCATTTATTTTATCTGCTTTAGTAATATGATTTTTTATTATTAATAAGATTTTGACAAGACTTACAGAATCTTTGAGAACAACTGGGAATATTTTGTTTCATCATACAACTGTAAACCATCCTCTTATATTAAGTTCATCAATGGATCAATCAGTAGAGTTTTCCAAATTACTGAAAGGTTTTGCAACGTCCAGTTGTAAAATTCAGACCGAAACCTAGAGCAGCGGTCGTATTTTTATCTAATGTTTTATCTAACAAGTTAATTACAGAATTGTTATTAGCATTTTTAGTCCAGTCACTGTTCTCAATTAGATGGCCTGATATGCATTTTAGTTTTAGTTTTTTATTTATTTTTTTGAGCTCATTTTTAACTTCTGAGTTTATTATAACAGTGATATAACATACATTTTCATTCTAATGGAATACCTGATTAAAAGAAAAGAAAATATTATACTGTAATATATTTAGTTTATAGTTGACAACGGAAGAACATTAATGTATACTCACTGTTCATAAGAGTAAGCATTGATAGCCAGGCTGGGCAGGACGAGGAAGGTGACAGTGACGCCGCACCACCACTGGTTCCCTGACGAGCAGAAGTCTACAGCCACTATCACTGAAGTCATCTGGTCAACCACATACATGATCAAGTACCACGTACAGGGCATGAAGATGGTCAGCATCCTCCAAGCCATCACCATATCTGACACTTGGGCATCGGTATAGCGGAATAATGGCGCGTCTCGAGTTTGTGTAGCGGCGTTGAACCCAGTGGAACGGGTTTCAATCACTACATATTCCGAAGACCCTGATGATATCGAAGTGCTCGCTTCCCCTGAAGCGTTCGTCCTAAGGATTTTCCAGGAGCTAATGGTTTGAGGGGCTTCCTCAGTTTGGGCAGCAACGTCCATAGTAGTCGCCAAGGACTCAGTCTCTTGCCAGCTGGCTGCAGAAGGCTGTTGCTGCCGTCTATCTTCGGCTGCCATCCCCGTGTCAGGTTCCAAAGGTCCGGCCTCAGCATCGTACCAGGCATATCTATCGTCAGACTGGGCTCTGGTGTGGCCAGCGTGGGGCTGGAAACCCTCATTTACTACTCCCTTAAGGGCCATGAGAGCCTGATCTGAATCCTCTATGATGATAAATACATGTTTGCAATTATAATTTCTTCGCAGAGGACCTTTCAGGCCATTTTTTTAAATTAAAATCTTAACTAAATTTTGCAAGGTCACTCTAGTGATTTGAAAAGACACTTGTTTATCATATTGCATCAGTAAACTAACTAGAAGCTTCTTCTGCCAATGTTACCATCTCATGATATCGAGAAAACCTTTGAATGACTTGTTCTTCCGCAGATTGTTGTAAACTCTAGCTTGTTGTAACTCCAGTGTGTGCCTTGGATTCCATTATTGTGCTTATCCACCCATATGTGATTAATATTATTCGATATGGTGTTCCTTTACTTCAGTTTGTGAAGAAAAGCACTGTTGACTATAAGACGTGCAATAATAATAGTGCGCTGAGTATCAACTTCCAGGAAAAGTAATTAGTCGTGTATCTTGTGCTAGAACTCAAGTGAAGCACAAAAGTTTAAAGGTTGTTAAGGGATACTAGAAACAAAGATTCTCTTTTTTTCATATGGCTGAGCAAGGGTAGTAAATGCTACTACAAATGTCCAGGTATGGGTTTTGAAGCGGATTGGCCCCACGTTTGGATTGGAGACTGTTACAGAGCAAAGGGCGCAACAAATTCTATTAGGAACTCGAAGTACCCTTTTTAAGAAAAGTCCGGGAGCCAGATTAGATCGAATCCAAGACCTTCAGAACTCCACTGAATGGGTTAGCTTTCTACCTTGTGATTACCGGATAGAGGCTCGAGCCTTCATCACTCGCTGCACTGAATGACACACTGGTTTAGCGTTTCACGTATTTTTATTTTATTTATCATTAAACGGTGGCAACTTCACACAGCAGGAGATGCATTTTAGGTTTTCAGCCTGCGAGTAATCTGGAAGTGTCTCCAGTTACTGTGTCAGTAATGTCAAGGAGCAACAACGTTTCTCCTGGTTTTCCACACTCCCCCACTCTACCCACAATTGATTCACCAACAACTTGACTGATCAAAGATTAGGTTGTGATTAGCAGACGAATGGTCGAGCCTCCAGCTCTCCTTAAGCTTAATTATTCACACTGGTTGAGCGCTTCATAAAATAAACAGGAGTTGATATGAGCGCGACTCCACCAACACATGCTGCAAAGGTGACGTTGTTTGTGGCGGCAGTGTACTGTAACCCCTCCTAACTGATAACAGTGATAAAAGATTGAAGATACTCCTGAATCCCTCTACTGATAACCCGTCTAGCGGTTGATAAGGTTTTCTTGTTGCTGTTTTTCTTCCTTTTGTAATGTGTATACCTGGAGAGGGTTCCGGGGGTCAACGCCCCCCGCGGTCCGGTCTGTGACCAGGCCTCATGGCGGATCAGGGCCTGAGCCACCAGGCTGTTACTGTTGGCCGCACGCAAACCGACGTACATACCGCAGCCCGGCTGGTCAGGTACTGACTTTAGGTGCTTGTCCAGTGCCTGCTTGAAGACAGCCAGGGGTCTATTGGTAATCCCCTTCTGTATACTGGGAGGCAGTTGAACAGTCTTGGGCCCCTGACACTTATTGTGTTGTCTGTTATCGTACTAGTGGCACCCCTGCTTTTCATTGGGGAAATGTTGCATCGTCTGCCGAGTCTATTGCTTTCATAGGGAGTGTATATGATCATGTCTCTCCCACCTGCGTTCTAGGGAGTACAGGTTTAGGAACTTCAAGCGCTCCCAGTAATTGAGGTGTTTTATCGCAGTTATGTGTGCCTTGAAGGTTCTCTGTACATTTTCTAGGTCAGCAGTTTCACCTGCCTTGAAAGGTGCTGTTAGTGTGCAGCAATATTCCAGCCTAGATAGAACAAGCGACCTGAAGAGTGTCATCGTGGGCCTGGCCTCCCTAGTTTTGAAGGTTCTCATTATCCATCCTGTCAGTTTTCTAGCACATGTGACTGATACAATGTTATGGTCCATGAAAGTGAGATCTTCCGACATGATCACTCCCAGGTCTTTTACATTAGTTTTTCGCTCTGTTGTGTGGTTGGAATATGCTTTATACTTCTATGTAGTTTTAATTTCCTCACGTTTTCCATATCGGAGTAATTGAAATTTCTCATCATTGATTTTCATATTGTTTTCTGCAGCCCATTTAAAGATTTGGTTGACATCCGCTGGAGTCTTGGGGTGTCTTCAATGGAGGACACTGTCATGCAAATTCTGATGTTATCTGCAAAAGAAGACACGGCGCTGTGGCTAATATCCCTGTTTATGTCAGATATGAGGATGAGGAACAAGATGGGAGCGAGTACTGTGCCTTGTGAAACAAAGCTTTTCACCGTAGCCGCCTCAGACTTTACTTTGTTTGCTACTACTCTTCGTGTTCTATTTGTTAGGAAATTATAGATCCATCTACCGACTTTTCCTGTTATTCCTTTATCACGCATTTTGTGTGCTATTTCACCGTGGTCACACTTGTGAAAGGCTTTTGCAAAGTCTGTGTATATTACATCTGCATTTTGTCTTTTAGAGCATCCTGGACCTTGTCATAGTGGTCCAGTAGTTGGGGCAGACAGGAGCGACCTGCTCTAAACCCATACTGCCCTGGGTTGTGTAACTGGTGGGTATCTAGATGGGTGGCGATCTTGATTCTTAGAACCCTTTCAAGGATTGTTATGATATGGAATGTTAGAGCTATCGGTCTGTAGTGATAGGGACTTCTTGCAATTTTTGATGAACACGGAGTTCCATGAGTCTGGCCCTGGGGCAGAGTGCATGGGCATGTCATTTATCGCCTTTTCGAAGTCATTTGACGCCAGGATAATGTAAGACATGTTTGTGTCTACCAAATACTGTCTCTCTCTCATAAAAAAATTCATCTGGGTCTTCGACTCTGTCTGGTTAGCAGCTCGCTAAAAACCGAGTCATATTGGGACTTGAGTAGCTCACTCATCCTTCCTTGGGGAGGATGTTGCACCGTCTGCCAAGTCTTTTGCTTTCGTAATAAAGTTGGTAGAATTACCGACAATATGTAAAGTAAAAGGACACAAGTGCAACTAATGTGACATTTTATTGCGGCAACGTTTCGCTCTCCAGGAGCTTTATCAAGCCATTACGGCTTGATAAAGCTCCTGGAGAGCGAAACGTTGCCACAATAAAATGTCACATTAGTTGCACTTGTGTCCTTTTACTTTACATCTTTTGCTTTCGTTGGGAGTGATTTTCATATGCAGATCTGGGACTAGTCCCTCTTCGATTTTCCAAGTGTATGTTATCATGAATCTTTCTTGCCTGCCTTCCAGGAAGTACAAATTAAGGGACTTCAGCTGTTCCCAGTAATTTAGAGAAGAGCCTCTATCTTATCGCTACAAGTCATAGAAGATCCTCCCAGAGGAAATGTCATAATAAGAGGAGAGGAGGAGGAGGTAGGGAAAAAATCAGAGATATCTCATCAAGAATAGATATTGGCTGAGGAGAAAGATAAAAAGATCAGCTTGTATACCACTTGTATTCATTCATTGGACACAGCTCCATCGACGAACGATGTCGCCTCTCTAATTACCCCGTGTTGAGTGTGACTATCCTCAGAGTGGTGGTTACTAAACCTTCGTCTTCACCTTCAGGATTGGTGCGTCGGTGGTTGCCTACCCAAGGGCAGGAAGCCTCCCTCTGCACTCCTGTTGCTATCTGTAGCCTCCACGCTCCAGACTGTACGTGTAGTCTACACGCTATACAGCCAGTGTTGCCTCTCCTCGCCGTTGTCTGAAGTCTCCACGCCTCAGCCAGTATGTGAAGTCTGCTCGCCATTCAGCTAGTGTTGGCTCTCCTCATCGCTCACAGCCAGAGTTGTTCTCTTCACTGAGTGTGGTTACTGGACCTTCGTCTTCACCATCAGGATTGGTGCGTCGGTGGCTGCCTACCCAAGGGCAGAAAGCCTCCCTCTGCACTCCTGTTGCTGTCTGAAGTCTCCACGCCTCAGCCTGTACGTGTGGTCTGCACGCCTTACAGCCAGTGTTGCCTCTCCTCACCGTTCAGGGCATACAGTGCTCCATCAAGCTACAGCTCACCTCCTCAGTGTCCTGTACCTCCAGAGACGGACTCCACAAGAAACTTTAAAGTTATAGCCAGGCAAGTACATGAGTCTACTTCACATGTACTTGCCTAGCCAATTTTTTCTCACAGGATTGGCCGCCACATCTTTTTAGGATGCCTGCAATGCCTTCCACCTCCTTTCCCCTTACCACTCCTCTACTGCCAACACCTGCCTCTACTCTGTCTACTCCTGCTTCTAAGGCCTACCCTGCCCCCACCTCTTCCAAGCCCAATTCTTTCTCGCTTAACCTCAAATACTCTAAATCTGATCATACCACTATCTGTCCAGGAAATTTACTGTACCAGATCACTGGCGCTCCTCAGCATAAAGTCTTTAAAACCAACTCAGGATTCAAACTACTTCTTGACAGACATTCTTACGAAACGTACACCTCAACCGAGACCAGACAAAAACTTGTCAATGCAGGCTTCACTATTATTTGGGGACTCTGAGCACCGCGCCAAATGCACAGTGATCGCAAAACACGTAGACTATTCTCTCCTGACTGCCTATGACACAGACAAAGAAGACTTAATCAAAGACATTAGTACTAAGAACAAAGTCTCTGTTGACGAATATATAGACTGAAAACTCTACCATCCTCAAAATACGCTGTTCAACTCCTTCTGACGCCTCTACACTCTTCAATCAAGGAATCCTTGCCAAGTCCATCCGCATTCCTCCAAACACCCTCTTCACTCCAAACTTTCACCCCATCACACAATGACTGAAATGCTACAAATTCGGCCACGACAAAATCTCATGCACTTCCACACAAACCTGCTCCAGATGTTCAGCAACTGGCCACTTCTGGAACACTTGCAACCTCCCCCTTAAATGTTCTAACTGCGGTGGGTCACACACTGCAGTTGCAAATTCCTGCCCTACTAGAAAAGACATTCTCTCCACCCTCAGAGAAAGCCAACCTCCCTCCCTCCCAACGTTGGCCTGTACATTGCAGAGTCACTTGTTTGCACAGAACTGCTAAATGCCTCAAATGATGTAGTGGAAGTTTTAGCAGTAAAGGTCGAGAACCAAAACCTAGTCATTGTGGTAGTCTACAAGCCTCCGGATGCAACATCCCAGCAATTCCAGGAACAGCTGTTAAAAATTGACCACTGTCTGGAAAATCTTCCAGCTCCTGCACCCAACATCTTGCTCCTGGGGGATTTCAACTTAAGGCACCTAAAATGGAGGAATATAGCAAATAATATTGTTGCAGTAATAACACCAGGAGGCAGCTCTGATGAAAACTCACACTCATGCGACCTTTTAAATCTCTGCACAAAATTCAATTTAAACCAGCAAATAATAGAGCCTACTAGACTGGAGAATACACTAGACCTCATCTTCACTAACAATGATGATCTGATAAGAAATGTCACCATATCAAAAACAATATACTCAGATCACAACATAATTGAGGTTCAGACATGTATGCGCGGAGCCCCAGACCGACATAATGAGATTAGTCACGAGGGAGCATTCACCAAATTCAACTTCAATAACAAAAACATAAAGTGGGACCAAGTAAACCAAGTCCTAACCGATATAAGCTGGGAAGATATACTAAGCAACACAGACCCCAACTTATGCCTAGAACAGATTAACTCGGTGGCACTCGATGTATGCACAAGGCTTATTCCTCTAAGAAAAAGGAGGAGTAGATGTAAAATAGAAAGAGACAGGCGCTCCCTTTACAGGCGACGGAAAAAGAATAACAGAGCGGCTAAAAGAGGTCAATATATCTGAAATGCGTAGGGAGACACTGGTCAGAGAAATAGCAAGCATCGAACTTAAGCTAAAAGAATCCTTTAGGAGTCAGGAATCGCGGGAAGAACTAAAAGCCATAAATGAAATCGAAAGAAACCCAAAGTATTTATTCTCCTATGCCAAATCAAAATCGAGAACAACGTCCAGTATTGGGCCCCTACTTAAACAAGATGGGTCCTACACAGATGACAACAAGGAAATGAGTGAGCTACTCAAGTCCCAATATGACTCAGTTTTTAGCAAGCCGCTAACCAGACTGAGAGTCGAAGATCAAAATGAATTTTTTATGAGAGAGCCACAAATTTGATTAACACAAGCCTATCCGATGTTATCCTGAC